CTCCCTCTGACCCTCCCCCTCTCATGTGCTCTCTGTCTCTCTCATTCTCTCTGTCTCAAATAAATAAATAAAATCTTAAAAAAAAAAAAAAAAAGAATTACAGCTAATTTCTAACAGAAACACTAAAAGGCAACAAGTCAATGGAACAAAATCTTTCCAGTGTTGAATGGAAAGCAATAAAAAACAAATTGTATATCCAATAAAATGTCTATTAAAAGAAATATTAACAAATACATTTGTAGACAAAACCTTCGTGGCTATCTCCAACAAACCCACACTTTATTTTTATTTTACTTATTTACTTACTTACTTACTTATTTTTAAGTAGGCTCCACGCCCAATGCAAGGCTTGAACTCACAACCCTGCAATCAAGACCTGAGATCAACAGCCCGATATTCAACCACCTAAGCCACCCAGGCACCCCTAAGCTTGCATTGTAAAAAAAAAAAAAAAAAATCAGAAGTCCTTCAGACTTAAGGGAAATACCAGATGGAAGCTCAGCATGAAGGAATGTAGAGCACAAAAAGAGTAAATAGGTCGATAAATATAAAAGACCTTCTGATCATTATTTTCATTATTTTTTAAAAGATTTTATTTTTTGTTTTAAGTAATCTCTATACCCAATGCAGGGCTTGAACTCACAACCCTGCATGCTCTACCGACTGAGCCAGCCAAGCACCCCCAATCATTATTTTTAATTTTACTGTATATATATTATCCTTAAAAACTATTATTTCAAACAAAAATAATAATACATTATGGGACATAAAGCACATAGAGAAGTGAACATGTGAAAACAAGATCACAAAGGGCAGGGGAAAGGTAAACAGGATTCTGTGCTATGGTTCTTAGTTCATAAAGTAGCACCTACTGTGTGAAGGCAGACTGCAGGAAGTCCAAGATGCACATTATAATCACTAAAGCAACACTGTTTATGGCAACAGGAAAGACATAAAATCATAAATTAACAATATTCAATTCACTGAAAATAAGGTTAAAACAAAAGGGAGCAGACGGACAAAAAAACTAAAAAGGAAAAAAGCCAATACCAGAGTGACAAAATTAACCCACCGCCACCAATAATCACATTAAATGGACTCAAGACCCTATGCAGAAAGCAAACAGTCCGGATAAAATAAAGGCAAGACCCATATATATAAGCTGTTTAAAAAGTATACTTTAAATATCACCTCACCCCTGTCAGAACGGCAATTATCAAAAAGACAAAAAATAACAAGTGTTGGCGAGGATGTGGAGAAAAGGGAACCCTCGTGCACTGTTTGTGGGAGTGGAAATTGGTGCAGCCACTGTGGCAAACAGTATGGACGTCCCTCAAAAAATTAGAAACAGAACTACCATATGATCCAGCAAGCTCATTTCTGGGTATTTATTCAAAGGAGACAAAAACACGAACTCAAGAAAGAGAACTACCCTCATGTTCACTGCAGAATTATTTACAATAGCCAAGACATGTAAGCAACCCAAGTGTCCATCGACAAATAAATGGATAAAGAAATCGTGGTGTGTGTGCGTACATGTGTGTGTGTTGTGTGTGTATATACATGTACACATACATATACAAATACAACACACAACAGAACACTCAGCCATAAAGAAGGAAATCTTGACATTTGCGACAGCATGGATGGGCCTCCAGGGCATAATGCTAAGTGAAATAAGCCAGACAGAGAAAGACATACTGTGTGAAATCACTTACAGGCAGGACCTAAAAAAAACAAAAAACAAACCAAACTCATAGAGAAGAAATTGGTGGTTTCCAGAGTCGAGGGATCAGGGGTGGGAGAAATAAGTAAACTGGTTTTTTTTTCTTTTTTACTTTAAAGAAATCAAATAACTTAAAAAAAAAACAAAAAAACACTATATTTTAAGGAAGAGGCTAAAAGTAAACAGTATAAAAAAGATCAACCACACAAAGATTAAACAAAAGAAAGCTAGTGTGGCTATACCCACAGGAGATCAAATACAATCCAAGGAAGAAGCATCAACAGAAATAAATAGCAACATTTATTTATAATTATAACAGGATCAATTCATCAGATAAATAACCCTACAAGTACATACATCTTAAAACAGTACCAAAATGCATGGGACAAACTTTAACAGAATTAAAAGAAGAAGACGTATCTATAATCATAGCTGAAAGTTTTGACACTCCTCTCTTAGTAACTGATAAGCGAGACAAAAGTGATCAGTAATAGAAACTGGTGTTGCAACAATTGGATATTCATACAAAAAAAGAACCTTGACCCTCATACATTATATACAAAAATTAACTCAAAATGGATCACAGACCCCTAAATGTAAAAACTAAAACCAAAAACTCCCACAAGAAAACACAGGAAATCAAACACAATAAATTCTGTTACCTTTGGTTAGAGAGAAAGTTCTGAGGAAATAAAAAGTTGAGGGCAACTGGGTGTCTCAGTTGGTTAAGCCTCTGCCTTCGGCTCAGGTCATGATCCCAGAGTGCCAGGATGAGCCCTGCATCCGGCTCCCAGCTCAACAGGGAATCTGCTTCTCCCTCTCCCTCTGCCCCTCCCCCTGCTCATGCTCTCTCTTTCTCCCTCTCCTCTCAAATAAATAAATAAAATCTTTAAAAAAAATCTTAAATAAAAAATCAAAGTTCTCAATGTACTGAAAAGATATTGTAGAGATTACTTTACAAAAAAAAAAAAAATCATACTAGGGCACCTGGGTGGCTCAATCAGTTAATCGTCTGCCTTCAGCTCAGGTCATGATCTCAGTCCTGGGATTGAGCCCCATGTCAGGTTCCCTGCTCAGCGGGGAGCCTGTTTCTCCCTCTGCTGCTCCCCCTGCTTGTGCTCTCTCGCTCTCTGTCAAATAAATAAAATCTTTAAAAAAAAAATCACAGTATATGATCTGAATTATGGGTTTTTTTTTTTTAGTTTTTAAGTAATCTCTACACTCAACATGGGGCTCGAACTCACAACCCCGAGATCAAGCGTTGCATGCTCTGCTGACTGAGCCAGCCAGGTGCCCCCCAAATTATGTTTTTTAAAAACACACATTTCCTGAGGCGTCTGAGTGGCACAGTTGGTTAAGCACCCAACTCTTGGTTTCGGCTCAGGTCGTGATCTCCGGGTCATGAGATCGAGCCCCACATCAGGCTCAGTGCTCAGCCTGGAGTCAGCTTGAGATTCTTTCTCCCCCTCCTGGCTCATGCTCTCTCCCTCTCTCTCTAAAATAAATAAATAAAGCTCTAAAAAACAAAAAACCCCACACAAGTCCTACCCATGTACATACGTCCAAATGTATAAAAAATAAGCGAACATAATACACTAAAATCGTAGCCTCTCGGTTTGTGGAATATTAGATTTTGGTTTTCTCATTATATTTCCCAGTATTTTCCAAACTAACATGTATTGCTTTTAGAATCAAGAAAAACAATAAAAGAAAATGTGCCTCTACCTCAAAATCTGCTCCTGACAAGCAGCAATTCTCTTCATGAATTTGTAAAATATCTTATCTCCACTTTTAATTGTGGTCTTCTCATATTTTTCATCACCATCACTAGGAAGACTAAAAAAAGAAAAGCAGAAAACACCTCTGAGTCTCTATATCCAGAGAATTAAAATATTTAAGAGCAAACAAGATAATGCACATAATTTAAAAATCATAAATTTAAGCAGCGCCTGGGTGGTGCAGTCAGTTAAGGGTCAGACTCTTGGTTTCGGCGAAGTTCGTGGTTTCAGGGTTGTGGGATCAAGCCCCACGTCAGGCTCTGAGCTCAGTGCAGAGTCTGCTTGGGATTCGCTCTCTACCTCTGCCCCTCTCCGTCCCACCTCACTCACTCTAAAATAAAGAAACCTTTTCACTTTTTATTTTTTAAAAGATTTTATTTATTTATTTGACAGAGACATAGTGAGAGAGGGAACACAAGCAAGGGGAGTGGCAGAGGGAGGGGGGAGAAGCAGGCTTCCAGTGGAGCAGGGAGCTTGATGCGGGGCTCGATCCCAGGACCCTGGGATCATGACCTGAGCCGAAGGCAGACGCATAACCATCTGAGCCACCCAGGCGCCCCAAGAAACCTTTTTA